CCATGGAAAATATTACATTTGATAAAACCTGAACCCTATGGGGATGATATTTTTTCATATGACAATGGATTGGTTTTAAAGCATATTCGTTTCTTTCAATACATTTAGGAATGAACTATCCCAGACTTGGGTAGATCTCATTGAAACAACACCCCACGACCAAGACTCAGAAGATACTGTATCACAGCTCATTCGGTTTAAAAAAGTCAATTTAAATTAACAGTAATATCATATGGTATAAACATTGGTGTGCCTAACATGTTTCTTTTTTAAATTATTGATCTTTAAGAAAACATCCTAGCATAATCAGTAGCTTTATTGGATATTATGGTTAATAAATGTCATTAAAAGATGATTGAAGAATATATAATTTACATACAATTATTTCCAAGGACTCAAAGTTCCAGATTTTTCAAATCAAACTTCCTCATATATAGATATATACAAACACCGTATTAATGCAGTGCAATTCTATTGAAAAGTGTACGTCTTGTTTAGAGGGAAGAGCAACTTAATGGCACTTTATTTTGGAAATGTTGCCGCGCAGTTTCTTTGGTTATCAATCCTACAACTTATGAAAACACCCTGGGAATATAGACCAATCCAAAGGGCAAGAAAATGTGACAGAAATGAATATGAAATCAATTATTTCCTCATAGTTATAGAATACTGTATAAACATGTGTAAAATAAAGGGAACTATACCTACGAATAATAAAAATCAATAGAGGTATTTTTTACAACTATACTGCTCCAAATGAAAACATGATCAAAAGTAAATGAACTTTTGTGGATCAATTATTGAATGATTGAGTACCTAATATTTGCTTGTGTCTTTTTTTCATGAATTTTGTGTTAGAAATGAAGTAGAAAGTATATAATGTGCTATCTGTAAGTAATTTTCAATGTATATATGTCGTTCGATCTTGAATAATTATTATTTCATACTATAGTTTCCTTCGCAAGAATTTGATTGATCTTTTACTTTTTATATACACATGTATATATACTTTTTGGCAATCAATAATGCCGTAAAATAAGAACACTGAAAATGAGCGATAAAGTTTATGTAATATGAATATAATGTTGACAAATATTATGATATAATATTACCAAAATAAATTAATAGAAAAAGGATAATTTCCGTAAGGATTAAGGATCTGGACAATTCTTAACAATTATATATTTCTAGTACATTATGATGTTTTACTTATATTTTAACATGATGTTGTACTTCTGGTACATTATGATATATACATGTAACTTGAATTATAACATGATGTTGTATTTCTGGTACATTATGATATATAACTTAAATTATAACATGATATTTCTAGTGCATTATGATAATATATGTATCTTAACTTATAACATGGTTTAAAAAAAAAAAATAAAAAAAAATATATATTATATTTTAATTTCTGAAATAATAACTGTGAACCTTCGCACAGGATGTAATTGCTGCGAACAATATCGGTTCTATCTGATAGTCTTTGAGAAAAACTAAACGATCAGGAACCAAGTATTGAATGCTTAGCCGGAACATTAGTTATTCTTTATAATTGAAGGTGTCATGCATGTTTTTCGCGTGTGCCAGTAAAATAATGTGTATGCTTCATATGTTGTATGCTTGATTGATTTATGAGGACTTCATCAAATTACATGAAATAAGGATGATGATTATCTATATGTCTGTAGGATTGAGGTCACCAATGATACTGCCATGATAGACGTTTGATATTGGTTTATTTAATATTATCGTATTGAACAAGACATTTGTTATTTATGGGAAATTTTACATTTGTATTTACCTAGGAGGGGGCGAATGGTACTTATATGGCATTGAGTGTTCACTTAAGGAATGATTTTTATTTTTTCAACATTTATGAGGTCATAACAACAATGGGTTTATGGACATATTGAATGAATCGCGTTAGCGATTCATGTAAAATATGTCCAAAAACCCATTGTTGTTATGACCTCATAAATGTTGAAAAAATAAATATCATTCCTTATATTTACATTGACGAATCCTTTCAGTGGATCGATATAACAACGAATAAAACAAATAAACAGGGTTTGTTCCTGCTTATACACGGGTGCAACGCAGTGGCGAGAACAGTGTTTTTTCGCGGGGAAATGTGACACTATCGTGAGAGATCTTAGCAACCGTCAACAACAATAACACAACAAAATGTAGTTCCATATTCAATGTTTATTTGTAGCACAGGACACGTGAATACGTGGATATTTCACAAAGCACAGTTCAATAATATTTTAAGATGTAAGAATTAAGCATCTAGTTCGGTCGTTCCGAGTGAGTAGTTTTTGTAGTGTATTACTACGCAGTGTGATCAGGTTACTATCAGTTCCCACGTGCTGAGATTCTATGAACACCTGTGTTATGCATTTATGAATGTAATTTTTGTCAATGGGTCTAAGCATACAGAATGTAAATATAAGTTCGTGACCGTTTTGATTGTTAAGAAAGTGTTGGTAATACCCGGCGCCAGGTACGAGCGGGAAGTATGTGTTAGCCTCTACACAATGGGGAGACCACAGACACTGAATTTGAAAATTGTATCGTATCATTATTGATCCCACTTGACCTCGATTGTTCATGGTATTTATCATTTTAGTATATTTTCAAAAACAGTTGAGTGATGTGTCAATCTGTACATTATAATTGTCGGCGCGCACCATCTGGTTACAAAACAGGCTAAAATACCATCTTTGGAGACTTTTTATGATTCTTACCACAGCGTTACTGAAGTTGTAAACCCGAGCTACTGTCATTGCACTTAATTCACGTTAAACAATGTAACTTGTTAATTGGTATTATATAAATGTTAATTATTTATAAACCATAGACTAGTAAATTGATTTTAATTACTGCGTTAACTTAGTCAGAACTGTTTTATCTATTTCCCATGTAAAGTATATTTGTAAGGCCAGCATCTTGTCTCTTATTTTACACATGCACAGATGGCCTTGATCATCTGTGTCAGCTATGTATATACCGGTCATCAAAAATAATCATTACACTTCAGGTTTGCTAGGCATATAATACTGAGTACCTCACTCGGAGCATCTCTGACTCTGTTCCTGTGGTTAAGTTAATGTAGATGGATAATCAGTGGACCAAGGAAAGTGTAGGGATGAATGCATTTACCGACGTACCATGTTGATAGAAGATAGAAGATCCCTTTTCCTATTCATATCAGTATATAACCAACTACCTAGGCCTTAACATGGGAATTGTTATTGTGCATGCAATTTTGAATAGCATACATCACTCGTTTGGTTTTGGATAAGCTAGTGAAAACGCCTTTACTGGGCTTTGCCTGTGACAGTTGGATTTATGAATTACTATACCACAAATTACAAACAAAAAAATCCTACTTCTCAATTTCTGAATTTATCAAAGCACCACCTAATAGGTTATAGGAGAATGGGATTTGCATTTTGCTCCCCTGATGTGCCACGGTTTCAGAACCTGTAACAAAGAGTAAAATCTAATTTGGAATTTTATATGTTCAAATCTTACCAGAAGTTTTCTCGTCTAAGGATTCACCTGGGCTGGATGTGGAATGTCAGAAGAATTTGTAATTCACCTGGAAGAATCCGGAGAATGAAGACGTGAACTGTTTTCATTACTGTTGATGCTACCGGGAGGATACTTGTACGATAAGTTAGTTCATCAAATTTTTTTTTTCAATGTCTCATATTCTTCATACAAACTTTTGTATATAAATCAATACAGATAGTGTTTTTGCATGGTATATGTTTAACATACTGTCTATGTACGCGCCGACTCTATTATGACCTGCTTGTTGATATCAGGTTGTTTATACACATATAGAGCAGATAAGTACTTATATTTCCATATAACACGGGTTTCCGATTTTCATTTTTACACAATGAAAAAGGAAAACGGGTTTTCCTAGACTAATAGAAAGTGTTTAAGTGTATGTTCATGAGGTGGGTCTATATTTTTGTTGTTGTATTTTGTATTAGGTAGAATTGTAGGCCTCCACTACCTGTAACAGTACACATTTTACCTTAGTAACAATGAACATCTATAATATAGGTCAGTAAATGCTGACTGTCGCGACACGCCATGCACGTTAGGACAAATGACGCTTTAAACTTATTACACATCATCATTCCATCAATAATGGATTTAGTTTGAGACAACACATGAGGTGCACATTTTCGAGACTTTAATAAAACGATATATAAAAATAGGATATGTGTAATCACATCAAATATAATAACCAACAAGCTCAGGAGAGGTTATCAAACTGTTCCGTCTTTTCGTATTGCAGAGTTATCTGCTCTTGATAGCAGGTATTGATTGTTTCGTCATTTGTTTGTGAGAGTAACGTCATCATTTTCACAGAAACTAATGACGTAATAAGCAATACCTGCTCACAAGAGAAGATAACTCTGCAATACGCAAAGACGGAATAGAAGATTACAATATGCTTTTTTCGTGTTTACAATAATATACTATTTCTTTAAATATATAACTGTATAGCAAAAAACGGGGCTTTAAAAGTTTAGCAAATATCTATTACATGATGAAGGACATGGTAACAAAGGACATGCTACTATACTTATATATAAAGGTATAGGAGCAATATGCGTCACTTGGATACCGTAGTCTTATAATATTATGAATATATCAGATAAGAATAGTTTATTAACATCACGTGTTCAACGTGTTTAGAATAGACTTTGTTCATAGATTCACAATGCAAAATAGTGTGAATAAAGATAGGACATATTGTTTACATTGTATAACAGAGGTGGGGCGGTATAGTCATATGCAGGAACAGTTTATACCGAAAACATCTCATGGAAGTCCATTCAAACAGAAGGAGATAAAATCCCAAAGAATTTAGATATGACAAAAATAAAAACATGCACAGAAGTGAAAAAGAACTGCAGAAAATTTAACCCAATTAGCACCGCATTGAACAAAGGATAAACGATCCAACAGAAAAATGAATACATTTTAATATAGAAGACATGTTACATGTATAACTCGAAATAGCATGACTCTAAAATGACAAAACAGCTCCACTCAATGTGTTCAGTAATACATTTGATTCAGGTAACAAGAAGAGGAGATAATATATGAAAGGCGATATATCTGTTATGTTGGTAGATAACGTATAGTTATAAGGCTGTACTGATAAATGATAACATTACAAATATTCTCGATGAAACAAAACGAATAAAATGGATTACGGGCCAGAATATGCAGTATATTGCCCTACATCAGTGTACAAAGCAGGTAGTTCACTGCAACTTGCTGCAGAAATGAATGTTGACATCAGGGAACTGAATACTTCTATGGAGATCCAGGTTTGAAAAAGTGTTATATGAAGAGTGCCCTGGTCCGTTCCTTTGGTACATCCAAATACAGAACAGGAAGAGGGACAGCTTCGGTCTCAGCACAGGACCAAGCCAGCAGTAAAGAGATAGCTTCATACCACAGCTGGACGGAATGTTGACAAAAGACCCTTCCGGACTCAACATTTCAGATAAATATCTAATTCAAATCTTAAAATAGCTTGACGAATTGTCAAAATGTAACGTTTTGTTTGCACAACTTTGTACCGTATTGTGTTGCTCTAAATGTTGACTTGATTAAGTTGTTGTTTTTCAGATTAAAAATATTTAGATATTCTGTAGGTGATTTGCGACAATCATAAGAATATATATTTAGAAGTGCAACGTTTGTAACACATTGGTAATGATTAATATACATTATTAGTAAATATATCTGTCATATAAATATCGCCTTGATGTAATATATGATGAATTTTGTTTTGCTTTGCATGTATTTCTGTTGATTATTTATGTAAGTGTGGTTAACCTGAATTGATCATTCATCTTTCAGTGAAATTCGCCGTACATTGTATAACATTCTTTTGAGTATTGCCAATTTGGAGATTTAATCTCAACATTTTCAAGAAAATTTAACTCCAGTTCGCTAGCTTGTGCGCACTGAAATTCACATCGATGTGCACTGAAGTTAATTACAGTGCGCAAGGTAATTTTCTTTATCGTATTATGTTAGCCTTTTCATCAGTTTATGCATCTCCTCTATCGACTGCTCAACAAATCGATCAATAAATAGATTATTACTTGTAGATATTACCTATTCATATTCTTTAAAATGGTACATGTATATACATGTATTGGTGGTTTAAAGTTCATAATACTTTGTCTTAAAGACATAATCATGATTAAAATTCATTTATAGTTGTAACAGTATTACATACATGTACATATCAGTCTACAGACTATCGTTATATTAATCAATACATGATAGTGAAATATAAGTCTTTTTTCTGTAAGCTCATGGAGGTGACTACATGTTTTGTGTGAATAGGACAAAATACTATGAACTAAATATATTTAATTTCTCGTTCATGATGGGAACAATGTACTGTAGTTACAGGAATGCATATCTGAATACCAACAAAATGTTTGTTAAGGAATAATTAAATATATTGGTATCCAAATTGACTTTTCTATATAAGTATCATTAACCTGTCTGAACCCTATAGCTAGCACAGGGGAAACTGGGGTTGAAATGCCCTGAGGGTGTGTGTATTACACAAGGTATAGGATCTGATGTCAAATTATGTAAAATCTGAGTAAAATGTATGGAGGGGGAAAGACAAGGCACCGTATACGCATAAGCTGAAGATATTAAGTTTCCCTCTCTCCATCTCTTCAAACGGAAGGTTGGAGGGTCCTGACCCTAGAGACATTCCTAGATTTGTGCACCAATTATATCTATTTTTAAGTAGATGTCGTCATCTCTTCATTGATCTCTTTGTAAATCTTTTCTGCGTTTATGTATTTGACTTTTCTTTAAAAAAAAATAACAAAAAAATAACAAATTACATTGATTCCAATAAGTGTGTAGTTTTCTAGAAAATATACTTAAGTTCATTTTTACCACGAAATAAAATCTCCGAATAAACTTTAAAAATGTCTAAATAGTGTAAATGTTTATTATCCAATCAAAGTAAAAACCCGATGGTATTGTCAGTCGGCATGGTAAGATCATCTAACCACAGAGAAGTTGATTTATGCATAAAGAATAACATAGTTTTGGAGTACAATAATATAATAGTATTGTAAGGAAATATTTGGTGTTAGACAAGGTGATACACTTTAGTCCTTGTATTCCAAAACACAAGAAAATGTGTTTTTGAGTAAAAACGCATTGTGCGATAAGTATGAAACTTTCACAAATAATCTATCATCATATTACTATTATCTATACCACGTTGCATGCTTATTTCAAAATGCCTCGTATGTACAATTAGCCCTTATTATTGAAAAAAGGCAGAACAATTGTTAAAACAACGAAATGGGTTAACTGTAACGATTTGAACAGATACTTTTCCTTGAGGCTAGGAGATTAATTTCTGGTTAAAGATCTCATTTTTATTATTGATTGGTATTCTAGCAATTGAGCAAGATTTAATACATTGTTGATAAAAATTTGGAATGATATTCAAAGTAATGCCTTTTAGACTGGAACATGAAAAAAATGAAAAATATATAACAAAATCTCCAAACTAATTTCTTCAGGAGGAAGTTTACAAATGCATTCCAAATTTTGAAAGTTGATGTGCAATATTCTTTTCAATGTTTTCACACATTTACTCTGTATATTCACCATTTGCTACTGAATTACATCAAGTCTTCCTATTTACAAGATTTTTTTCCCATCCCATATGAAATTCCATATCATTAAATTTCTTTCATTCCTGTACTTTTCTGGAATACCCCTTGCTTCAATATCAAAACTTATCATTGATAAAATTTATGATTTGATTATCAGTACCTTACCTTCATGAGTCAGATTTCTGGTTTTCCATACATTGAGCAGTTTTTATTTTTCAATCTTTTCTTTCCATATGCTATCTATGTCTATATTATATCAATGATGGAATCCTATCGTTTTTATTAAATGTTTGGCCCATTTGATTTGATTAGAAATAGGGGTTTCTTTTTCCATATCCCCAGGTATATAGCTTCTGTTTTATCAACATCAATTTTTAGTGTGATGTTTTTTAATATGTTTTGAATATACATCATGACTTTCTTATTGATTCCTCTGTCCTGTGTATATGTTGAAGATCATAAGGAAATCCACCTAGGCTTAATTATATTTTGAGATGGTAATTGTAGTCCTTTTATGTCTGAGGGAGCTTGAATAGTACAAGCAAGCGGTGCTGATTGAAGTATGTACAAGATTGGCACCATATGGCATCCCTGATGCGCTGACCTTGATATATACGGATATTATTTGTTTCAATACATATTTTGACATTATCTTATAACATTTTAACCAAATTGCCATATAATTGACCAAAATTGAGATATTTTATGCTATTTTTTAAATAGTAAGCATACATGCTCTCTTATGATACGCAATGACTTACTTTTAAATACATTGGTAACATACGATATTTGTCCACTCTTGTGTTGTTAGATAATATAAATTGTAAAATAATTCGAATGAAGTGTTTTTTTAAATAATTACCCTATTAACCTTACTTTTTTGGGTCTGCGACTGCCAAATATTTCATGGGACTTTTCCCTGGGTCGCGTTATACTACAAAAATCCCCTGTGTAAAGATTTGCTTGGTCGTGATATTCGAGGTCAGCTTGTGTAACAACAGTAGTAACTTCTACCTTTAAAAGAAAGCATTCCTCTTAGTGTATAACTAATGTTAATTACATACAATCATAAAAAGAAATGCAACAATTTTATAAACATCTGAATACAATCAAGAGCGATACATTTAATGGCAGAACTAAATCGGGACTCAGCTTATCTGGAAATGAAATTTCCTAAACATCTCATTGTATGTACTACAGTCATAAGTGATTTGTTCTGGTATTGTTTTATTATCACATTTTGTCATGTTTGGAGAGGTTTGACAATATGATGAAAAAATAGCTATGCTAGATACTGCCTAATTCAAAGTAAAATCTGATTAAATCCATGTATGAATATAAGGACGAAAATAGGTTACATCATGACGATACACACCTCTCATAGAAGTTTGGTGAATGGGCATTGATACTATAATCTTCTAGGTTTCTTTGGATGCCTTCACACATGTGAAATTTAAAGCAAATGAACTTTGTATGTTGCTTTTGTCCTTCACTCGCCAGCCAGAACTGCTCAAAAACGCTTCTTTCTTTTCCGTTCCCCAGCCCATGCCGTAACCAGGAGCGCCGTCTATCGACAAACTACAAGGGAGACAAATCATAGTACTGATGGCGTACCCTACTCCTGCCACGTTTGGATCTCCTACGTTGTCCCTTTGGTTACTGTGTAAATCCGGATCAGTAATCGACACGACACCGTCGTCCTTCAAGACGCGACGAACCTCTTTCATGGCATTAACATGATCAGGCAGATCATGAAGGACGTCAAATAAGATCACCCAGTCAAACTTGCCTGTCCAGTCGGCTGGCAAGGACGTCGCGTCTTCTGTCACGAACGTCACGTTTTTGATACTTTGGGATTCAGCATTAGCTTTTGCTTTGGTTATCGCACCTTCGTTGTAGTCAACACCGTATATGTCTGCGTCTGGACAGTGCCTACTCAACGCTCTAGTTAGGACTCCTGCTCCGCATCCTAGATCGAGTACAGCGGTCATCGACTCTTAAAGCAAAACATAATTTGACAACTACATTTTAATCAATAAATATTTAACGTATATTATTTATGGAATCAATATTTATCTTCAGTGATCTATTTCATTAAATGCAACACGTATAAATGTACGGTTTAATAAGTGTAATAATTAGTACTTCATTATAAAATTAAACAATGCATCCACGGTTTTGTAAGTCTTTATATATACATGTCTTTATATGTCAAAGGGCATATTACATATGTTTGGCTCCCATTAAAATATCTAAAGTTTTATGTAGATAATGCACTGGTTTATAAACGGTTTGATTTTAAGGCATGCTTTAGAATTGGGATCATCATTTGCTAAGGGAACTAAAGACATAACGTACTGATAGAACTAAACATGCGAGAAGTTATAATACGTCTTATTGCTTAAGACAAGGGACATAATGATGACCGGTTAATTTGAATGTGACAGTATAGCATTTAGTGTCGTTGTAGCAATTATAGAAACTGCTTACTTATGGACTTCGTGACTGGCACAAGGAGTTGCTCTACTGCCTTGTCTGGATCCGGTGTTTTGTCTTCAGTGACGTCAATCAGTTTATTGGGCATTTCACTCCAGTCATAACCTAAAATAGATATGGTCGGTAGTATGATAGAAAGTTTTGTATGACTATTATTGAATCGTATTAGGAGTGATGTTCAAAATCGTTCTAGACTTTCTGTATATTTTTATTCATCGACTGCAGGGATTAACACTTTTTATATAAATGTTGTTATTCCTTCTTACGCCTTGTTACTTCTCAGCTGGCTAATAAAATGCATCTGCCTTTTCTGTTATAATTCTTTTATTTTAACTTCCAATCTGATGCAGACATTTTGAGCATGTTGTTTCGTTTCCTCTCCCAATCAGCTGTTAGCTCCTTTTCACTTGTATTGTCATTTTTAATTGTCAAATCGGTATTTTCAAATTGCATATGATTCGTTTATTTTTACGGTTTTATAACAACCTATAAAATGGCATTTGGTTTCGTGAAACATACCTTGAGGCCCGTCATTCCTGAAGCAGTTCTTCACTTTATCCGTCATAGTACTAATGACAGGGAAAAGGAACGCAAATCCAGTCGAATCAAGTCCCGGTTTGAGGGACTGAGGGATGAAGTATTTGTCCGAGTCATCCAGGAACACGATCCTGGTGGAGACCATACAGCCCAGCCACTCGCGGACATACCTACAAAGGGAGGCAATAACACGTAATACATCGTTAGTCAGACCATACAGCCCAGCCACTAACGGACATACCTACAAAGGAAGATGATTTCACGTAATACATTACTAGTCATACCATACAGCCCAGCCATTCCCGGACATGCCCACAAAGGGAGGTAATTACAGGTAATACGTTACTAGGCAGATCGTACATCCCAGCTATTCCCGGACATACCTGCAAAAGGAGATCATTACACGTTTTACATCAACACTGTTATAATTAAACTTCTTTATTTGCTATAAATGGTACATTTTTTTTTAAATTTAGGACTTCTTTGCAGTTTGTATTCATGGTTCATTTAAGCATTGAAATGTTTTTGTAAGGTATTTATGTAGCGCGCATTATGATTTGTTTGCTTGCAAAGCTGTGTCATTCAAATAGATCATAAATACCATACAAAAACAGTTCAATACTTATATTTACGTTTCCTCTGACTCTTATGTTCTTTTTAATTTACAATTGATAATTAAAATTTAAAATTCCCGCCTTATCGACAGTCCACACAAATTCGTTCAATAGTTGGAACAGTGTTTTGTCGCGTGCTGATTGGCAAACAAAGTAGTACTTTGAAATTTTAACAAACACTTCAATTTTATTCAACAATTCAGTATCAATACAATTGCGAATGATATGTCTATAGGGTGATTTAAGCTTATCAATAGAACTCTGAGCTGAATTGTTTCGATTTTTCCCCCGGAACAAATTTCGCTCATGGATAAAAAAAACCCAGTGAACACCGTAAATCCGACCTTGCCCTCCACGATGGAGTTATTTTTAGAAGTTAAACGAGCAAAGAGAAAAGTTCGAATTTGTGAAGAATCCAGGCGTGAATTTATGTGTTGATTGTATGGGAATCTGACTACAGTTGGTAGATTCTATAACAGCCACGTTATTTGACATGTCGTCAGAAACTGGGGGAGGCCATGGCTGCGAGACCCGTGAAACTGATAGCGTTTGAAGCGAGTGATCTTGCGACGGAGCACAGGGGTTCGATACAAATGTCTGAAATGGTTATGTGTGTTGTGACTCATATTAGTAGGTCTGTAACATATGTGTCAGTAGGTCTATAGAATATGTGTATTTCAGACATTTGTAACGACCCCTGTTGATCAGTGCAGTGTAACAGACGATATTTCTGATAAACTGCATGCGTGTTAAAATTATTTCATTGGTGATTTCAACCGATGTGCATTTGTACGATTTTACAGACCTTGGTCTTGTTTTTGTTGTAATAAAAGTATATTTTCTTTTCACATCAATTTACAATGACATTGTCAAGTCTCACAATGCCCAGTGATATTTCAACAGCCGTCATGTTTTTTTAAAGTGGATATTGTAGTTGTATTAATACGCTAAGAAATGTGTCTCGTGCTGCAAGGTAATTAAAGTCCAATCAACGACACAGCTTTCAAAGAGGCTATATAGTGAAGGTAAATATGGTGCTGTCTTTACACTTCTTCTGTACTTAGACTCAATATAAGCATTAAAGAGTATAAGGGTTATTTTTCCATAAACTTTCAAATTCGCGTAGGAATACGTCTGCAATTTTTTCCAGGAGTTTCTGATTGATATAAGCATTTAAGTATATGTTATATTATTTTAACAATACAATTTATGCAAAAAAGTTATTAATTATACCAGAATTACGTCACATGCTTCGGCATCTTCCGTGCTATTAGCCTTGCATTTTAACAAATAATGAAATATATTAAAACTGCAATGAATGTAATAAGAAGAGTTAAATCATGTCGTGGTGAGGTTTATGTGGCAATGGGTCTTGAGACTTATTTCAATTGAAGTACTTGGCAGTTTATTATAGTCTCAAAACCCATTGAGGTATAAATTGTATAGGCCTCAACACAACAGGATTCAGTCCTTAACATGAATACATAAAAGGCGTAATTCAATGCTTCAGAAGGCCATAACTCATATGATCATTTTTAGTGGCAGAAATAAAGACAATGGTTTAGTTGTCATGAAATAATTTCCTCTTTGAATCAATCAGACCCTCGAAAGAAGGTGAGGGAGGGAAATTTATTAATTTAACGACTTTGGTCATTTGTTTATGCAGTTAAAGAAAACGTAGAGCTCTGATTTTCCAAATATTTAATGGAAGTTACAACCCTCTGTATGAAGGATTATAACTTTTAAGGAATTATCCTGCCATGACTTTGTTTGCTGCCAGGCTTTATGCTTTTAACGTATCACATTTCGGAGTAAAGATTATAAACGGTAGATATGAATGTGATGTGATCTAGCTGCGTCGAAATATTTTGTAAAACTCTGCTTTTTAACTTTTTGGACTTTTGGTTACACAAAGCATGTTACCAAATATAACACGCATAGTTGTCACTGCCATATATCTATAATGAGCGTTCCGATTATTCTTTAATCATCTAACCAAAATACCATAGCTCGTCCCTTTCTCAAATTGATCGCCTCGTTGTAGTATTCAGGGAGTTATTGAGCCAAAAAGAAACCTTTTTTTTTGTGATGGCCTGATGTTTTTTATGCAAATAGTTTAGCTTATCGATTATAGTGCTATTCAATGAAATGGACACCCTCCTTTAAAATATGTCATTGACTAATTGATACAGTGTGCTAAAAATGAATTACACTGCACTATACAACTCTTTCGCCCTTTAAGGACTCGACGATAATCAAAATTGCCAAAAAAAGCGGAAATATAAATTGGTCTTGACTTCTGCAAAAGAGAATACAAGAAAAACCCGTTAATTATATGAATATCAAAAGCTAAAGGAATACTTTTTAAACAACAATTACAACTTCAATTGTCCAATAAGCGAAAATTTAAAAAATATAATCATAAAACGCACATATAAAATCACCAATTTAAGACACGAAATTACATAATCACAAATGAACGACAAATCCTCACAGTAGAGAAATAAATATAAAACCACCACACATAAACGTACAAATATAAAACCACCACACATAAACGTACAAATATAAAACCACCACACATAAACGTACAAATATAAAACCACCACACATAAACGTACAAATATAAAACCACCACACATAAACGTACAAATATAAAACCACCACACATAAACGTACAAATATAAAACCACCACACATAAACGTACAAATATAAAACCACCACACATAAACGTACAAATATAAAACCACCACACATAAACGTACAAATATAAAACCACCACACATAAACGTACAAATATAAAACCACCACACATAAACGTACAAATATAAAACCACCACACATAAACGTACAAATATAAAACCACCACACATAAACGTACAAATATAAAACCACCACACATAAACGTACAAATATAAAACCACCACACATAAACGTACAAATATAAAACCACCACACATAAACGTACAAATATAAAACCACCACACATAAACGTACAAATATAAAACCACCACACATAAACGTACAAATATAAAACCACCACACATAAACGTACAAATATAAAACCACCACACATAAACGTACAAATATAAAACCACCACACATAAACGTACAAATATAAAACCACCACACATAAACGTACAAATATAAAACCACCACACATAAACGTACAAATATAAAACCACCACACATAAACGTACAAATATAAAACCACCACACATAAACGTACAAATATAAAACCACCACACATAAACGTACAAATATAAAACCACCACACATAAACGTACAAATATAAAACCACCACACATAAACGTACAAATATAAAACCACCACACATAAACGTACAAATATAAAACCACCACACATAAACGTACAAATATAAAACCACCACACATAAACGTACAAATATAAAACCACCACACATAAACGTACAAATATAAAACCACCACACATAAACGTATAAATATAAAACCACCACACATAAACGTACAAATATAAAACCACCACACATAAACGTACAAATATAAAACCACCACACATAAACGTACAAATATAAAACCACCACACATAAACGTACAAATATAAAACCACCACACATAAACGTACAAATATAAAACCACCACACATAAACGTACAAATATAAAACCACCACACATAAACGTACAAATATAAAACCACCACACATAAACGTACAAATATAAAACCACCACACATAAACGTACAAATATAAAACCACCACACATAAACGTACAAATATAAAACCACCACACATAAACGTACAAATATAAAACCACCACACATAAACGTACAAATATAAAACCACCACACATAAACGTACAAATATAAAACCACCACACATAAACGTACAAATATAAAACCACCACACATAAACGTACAAATATAAAACCACCACACATAAACGTACAAATATAAAACCACCACACATAAACGTACAAATATAAAACCACCACACATAAACGTATAAATATAAAACCACCACACATAAACGTACAAATATAAAACCACCACAAATAAACGTACAAATATAAAACCACCACAAATAAAGGTACAAATATAAAACCACCACACATAAACGTACAAATATAAAACCACCACACATAAACGTACAAATATAAAACCACCACACATAAACGTACAAATATAAAACCACCACAAATAAACGTACAAATATAAAACCACCACACATAAACGTACAAATATAAAACCACCACACATAAACGTACAAATATAAAACCACCACACATAAACGTACAAATATAAAACCACCACACATAAACGTACAAATATAAAACCACCACACATAAACGTACAAATATAAAACCACCACACATAAACGTACAAATATAAAACCACCACACATAAACGTACAAATATAAAACCACCACACATAAACGTACAAATATAAAACCACCACACATAAACGTACAAATATAAAACCACCACACATAAACGTACAAATATAAAACCACCACACATAAACGTACAAATATAAAACCACCACACATAAACGTACAAATATAAAACCACCACACATAAACGTACAAATATAAAACCACCACACATAAACGTACAAATATAAAACCACCACAAATAAACGTACAAATATAAAACCACCACACATAAACGTATAAATATAAAACCACCACACATAAACGTATTTATATAAAACAACCACACATAAACGTATTTATATAAAACAACCACACATAAATGTATGAATATAAAAACAACCACACATAAACACATTTTTTTTGTCTATTTAAGCACCACACATCAACACACAAAAATATGTAAGTACCACACTTAAACACACAAAAATTAGAAAATCACCACCCATAACCACAAAACAAAATAAAGCAGCACCATAAATAACGGCATCTGAACAAAACGCACTACACGTAATTATAAAATCACTACACACAGATGTAAAAGCACCACTCATATACACCAAATAACACACAAAGACATATATGCATACAAAAATCACAACACCACACATAGACATATATATGCATACAAAATTCACAACACCACACAAAGACATATGCATACAAAAATCACAACACACAAAGACAAATGCATACACAAATCAAAACAACACACAAAGACATATATGCATACAAAAATCACAACACCACACAAAGACATATATGCATACAAAATTCACAACACCACACAAAGACATGCATACAAAATTCACAACACTACACAAAGAAATATGCATACAAAATTCACAACATCAAACAAAGACTTATGCATACAAAAATCACAACACCACACAAAGACATATATACATACAAAAACCACAACACCACACAAAGACATATATGCATACAAAATCACAACACCACACAAAGACATATGCATACAAAATTTACAACACCACACAAAGACATATGCATACAAAAATCACAACAACACACAAAGACATATGCATACAAAATTCACAACACGCACAAAGACATATGCATACAAAAATCACAACACCACACAAAGACATATATGCATACAAAAATCACAACACCACACAAAGACATATATACATACAAAAATCAAGTCACGAACTCACGAAACCTAACCTCATAGGACAGCTCGGGTGTTCCATAGTATTAATAACGAGTTATTTTTGTCATCGTTCGCTCTGTTTACACATAACTTGATACGTCTATTTCTACTTCAACCTACACACATTTAAACGCAACCGTACAATGCATATATTGCCCTACATTCACGAACTCAGCTCGCCAAGGACGCAGACAAACTGTTTTGTACGTGTCTGGTTTCGCGTCTTCCTACAACGCAGTAGAGGTACAAGTACACTCATTTGTTTTAATGAGAAAATATCGGTCGCTTATGTCAGATGATTGATTTCTAGGGTGAGGGGTTGGGGTAGGGGTTCTCAAGCAGCTAGTTCAATTATATTCTACCGGCATTCTTTTGCATTGCTAGCTTAGTGTGTGCAACAGCTAATTGGTGGCTTCAGGGGAGGATATTTTTATGGTGCAAAACCTTTCTTTTAATACTTTAAGCTTGAGTAAATAATTTCAAGCTTATTCAAGACATCATGGCTAATAATTGCATTTGAAACATATAACGTAATAAAACTTCCACTTGACTTTGAGCTTTTAGTACAACTTGTTTAGCATATTCCATCATTTTAATACAATACAATTAATTAGCATATTGGATTAGGTTATATGACTTGATTAACTTGTAATCTGTCATCCTCTTACTTGCAACCCTGTCACCTTCTCAAAATCCTTAATCTGTATCTGCAACTGGTAATTCGTAAATATAATAAATGTACATCTTAACCTTGGATAAAAAAACAACAACACCGAAATATTTAACCTTTAGTCATAATTGTTGTCAGACATCAAAGATATATTACATGCACTATAAAGGGGAACATTTGGGAGATACTTATGTCTCACAGAGTTGTTGCACGTTTAAGAATGTCCAGGCACATCGAACAATATATTATGTTATTGTGGTACAAGACACGTACTCTGATTGGTTGATTTGATAACTCCAGCTTGTCTGACCCGGATGGAAGTTCGAAGTGATCTAAATCTTGGAGGAAAGCGGAAAAAAACATGTGGTCGGGCAACTGACCCCATAACTTTTTACGTCGGATTGTGGAATCAAACCCCGGCTGTGCACTATCGGTGTGCTTTAGTCTTTTTTCGTTAAACATATGCAAGTATTTCTGAAGCAGATTGTTTTGGTTAAAACTATCTTAACTATTCACAATTTAATCACTGTACCGTTTCAATTTCAATTAGAGAGTGTGCACCTTATCTGGCAGTATATTAGCTCGTAGATCACACACCGAGTCGTTTTGTTCATATGGTAAATATGTAAGTTTGAAGGCTAGTTGTTTGTTTACTTACAGATGTATTCTGGGAATAAAAAGTCTGTGACGGAGCCTATAAAATCGTGACAGACTTATGATAACTAATCAACATTAAAAGACCTGGAATCTGAACACAATAAACCGTAAGACAAGACATGGAAACACATATAATACTACTTCCTAATAATGTCTGTTTGTATCTGTTGTTATTTGCAAACCAAGCCCATGCATCAATAGTTTTCACAGCATATACAGACGTTTACCTCTCTTTTAGATTACAGGCGTCTGCTAACTGCTGTGAAGAGACGGGCTTGTCAAGTCTTTTCAGCTCATCAAACAGCCCTAGGTCCTTCCCTAATGTGATAGCAGAGGTGATGTAACTCCCAGCGATGAAGTTCGATATATTTTGAGAATACACTTTTAAATCCATTTTGTGGCTTCAGAAACTTAACGTTTATGTATCTTTGTAACAGGTTATTCTCAAAACAAATGTCAACAGAGACCTGTCCAGGACACTATATGATTGGTTATTCACATGCATGAATAATTGTTAGCTAAGGAAGCCTTCTAGTGCTATACATATGCATGGGAGCGAATACAAAAAAGATGCAGGTTAAATTATGTCAGATGAGCTTAGTTTGCATGCAGAGCGCACTCGTGGCTATTATTTTCACACGTGTTTTTTGTAACTTGAACTATGTTCAGATACAAATACTGCGGACGAGGACGTGCTCAATGTGAACTAAACTGTCCTAAAATAGAGACGTTGACCTATAGGAGATGCGGTTTGTCATTGAAATGTCCTATCTGGGGACGTTGGTTCATAGGTTCACGTTTCCCCTATAGACTAAACTGTCCTTCCTCATCCCCACACCAATCCTCCTGGCACAGTTCAGTTTACATTATTTTCTCTCTCATAGTTATGGTACATGTTTCTGTTTAAGAGTTTCCGCATTGTTAAGGTCTCATCTGACACTCTTTGTTTGGTACGGATTTCCTCACGGTACCCTAATCTATTTCTATAAAGGAAGTTTAGTACAAAAACTAATCTTATCGTAAGTATAAGGTAGATTATCTTATTGATGAATGTTTTTGGAGATACAGAAACCACCAATACATATGTTAATAGATTTTTGAAAAGAAATATTGGTCAAATTGAAAGTTATAATTACAGGCATTTAAGGAGTATGTGTTAGATAGACCGTCCTTGTGTAAATATTGTCTTTGATATCACGCCTGTTATGGTATTCAACTTTAGTAAAGAAACGACAAAGTATTTCCAAATTTGTTTCAAACATAAAAAATAAAATATAAAAAAATAATCCCTACATATTAAAGACTTTAAAACGTCCGTAGCATGTTTCTTTTTATTATATGCTTGATTCAAAGATGTATACGATGTTCAGCTCATGTTTCTATTTAATATTATATTCTATTTGTGTATAACACAAGTTCCTAACCGTTTTATGGTTCATAGCTGGTAAACTATATCTGCACACAACCAAGCTGAATTAATAGTAATTAACTATTGCTATCTCAGATTTAAGATATTCTAAATAATCAACCCATAATCAGTACAAAATAAAAGGAAGGTATTTTATTGATTTCAATATGTGTTGATAAGTTATATATTCTCTGTCAAGGGAAACCTAAATTATTGGCTTATATACTAATCCTATATAGTGTAGTGTAATAAACAACCCATAATCAGTACAGAATAAAAGGGAAGTATTTTGGTCAGTAATCTCATTATGTATTGATATATTATAAACTCTGTGTCAAGGGAAATTTAAATTGTTAGCTTAATTACATCCCATATTTTGTCATTTTTTAAAAGCGAAACTCTTTACTGTTGGTATTTGAATATGCTGGCAATTTTTGTCAACTCTGCGCACCTGTCTTGTTACACTGATGTAGTTTGTCCATGCTCCAGTGTGTACAATTGTCCTTGTATCCTAATTATTAAGACAGAGACAGCATAAGATAGACTCATTACAAGTCAACCAATGTGGGCTGGTGCGATCTAATAGTTTTTAATGGTTAAAGTCGAGGTTTTCTGCAAAATTGAGTTTATGATTATAATTATTACCGAGACGACTGTTAGGCCGAGGTTTGTCCTGATCACGCTTGTTTATAGTATTTGATTGAGAATTTGATAACAGAGTGAGTGTGTGTGTCGTGACTGTCAAAGAGGTGGTATTAATCTGTCTGTTTTTGTGATGGCAATTTGTTGGTGGTATGCTATTTTATAGAACATGACAAGGCGGTAATCTGTTCTCCTGTGTACTAGGTCTCTCCATTTTAGATTATTTATCATGTCACTAACACTTGAGATGTAGTGGCCCTTTGTTGTACCTTTTCAAGTTTGTTTATGTCCTCAGCAAGGTAAGGGTTTCAGACTGAACAGGTATATTCTAGTGATGGTCTGACTAGGGACTAATATGCCTGTTCCTTTACTGAGGTGGAACTGATGTTTAGGTTCCTTCGGAGAAAACCAAGTGTGCTGTTTGACTTATTGCAATTAATGTGACTGTGCCATTTTAGGTCGGATTATATTGTGATCACCCCTAGGTATTTTGCCTTGTCAACGTGTTGTAATGTTAGGCCATGTAAAGTGTTGTTTTATTTAAAAGGATCTGTATTTCTGCTGATGGATGCAACATTACACTTGTCAGGATGAGAAGCCATTTTCCATGTGTTTTCCCAAATACCTAGCTAGTATATCAAGATCTTTCTGAAGGGTTTTACAGTCACTGTTTGATTTTATCACAAGTTAAACAATGGTATCATCGGCAAATAGACGTATGGTGGAAATTAAGCCAACATGTATGTCGTTTATATAAAACAAGAACAGACTTGGGCCCAGAACAGAACCTAGAGGAAAACCTGACATTTCAGGAACATAACCTGACGTCGCACCCTCAAGGATAACTGGGTACGATTTGATAAGAAGCCCTGTAACCCATGCATTGGTAGAATTTGCAGTTTTGATATTTTTATTGCAGCTTACTTTCAATGAATTGTATAATCTGCATGTAAGTAGGGACGTCTCTATATACTGTCCCTGATGTAAGGCCTCGTTTTTTTGTTTTTTTTTATTTCTACATACATCATCAGTGTAGGTTCCGTTGGATGAAAAGTCGGGAATCTAGACACCGTGACAAGAGGAATAACCCTTACTTTTATGTCTACTGCAATTTATCGACTACATTATCCTGGTACAAACCGGATATAAATCATCGATTTTCAAGAGGAACATCGAATGGACCTCACGTCAAAAGGAAACAAGGTTAGACGTCGACAGTATTGGCATCCTGTTGTTGTGTAACTGCACGGAGTCTTAATATTTCTAATCCTCTGAAAGGTAAGGATCTAAGAAGACCGCAACGATACTGTGGAGAATTAGTATGACGTTGATTGACTTATTGTGTAAACAGACAGCTGCCGAAAGAGTTGCAGACGAGCTGTTTATGTAACCGTGTTTCTGTTCGTGTCACTCTCAGTCATGCACCGCTGCCTGTCTAATTATATCGTGTTCTCGGAATTCTTTATTTATATATCCTAGAACCATTGCAAATAGTTTTGTTAATTATGATATGTATTACTCTTGTTATACTCAACCATATGTTTGTCCCTACTCATTACTATGATAATGAAATGGAGCGCTGTAGTTCTGGTAGTCGGTTTACATAACAAATGTCTTTACATCTACCAACTCGTTCTATTTTTACCACATAAAATTCGTAACACATTGTCAAGTACTCCAGATTCCCAAGTTTGTTTCTGAGGTGTTCTATCATGCAATATTTTTATGAGTATATTCAATTTCAACTTAATTTATTGTATCTACTGTAAAAATATTACATGGATCAAACTAAAACATAACATCATTTCAACAAACTATTGTATACATGTTAATTAACAAGAGAATGCCTTCCTGAGATTTATAGGCCTGTCAAAAAACTACTGGGACTTTTGTTTGGTGAGCATTTATCTGGAACATTGCACCCATGGATTTAGATTACAGGGGATGGGGGGTACAGCTTTAATGGTTTATTTATAAGCAACTTCAGCTTCTTGACAATGCATAACCAACATGTAATAATCATTCTAATGCACACACCAGTTTAGAAATGTGGAGCATGTCAGTAACTAGTTGGGTGCTTGTCTGCATGAATATTACAGTTGGTTACATGACCCTGAGGTGTATACATGTAAAGGCCATGCAGTTCCTCTTGGTTAGGAAATTCAAAGTTGAGGTTCATTGGTACACAAGGAGGACTCGCAGGATGCCCAAAGTAAAGTAACAGGATAAAGCTTATCAGAGAGAGGATAAGTGTAACAGCTAAGGATAAAGGCTGGGAAATATAACTTTACAGACAAAAAGCTCTGAGCTTTTTCAGTGAGGTGGGTCAACCCTGGGACTTGCTGAATAGTCGAGCCATTGAGCATGGCCAATAGCTAGATAGGTGCTCGTCTGCATGCTACATTACCAGTGTGAAGTTGGTTGGATCATTGTGACTCTACATGGTTCGCACAGGTCTTGAAAAACCCTTAAATTTGATGTCTGTCTTGAAAAACCCTTGAAAATGACTGTAAGCCTTGAAAAACCCTTGAAAATGAATGGGAGTCCTTGAAAAACCCTTAAAAACCAGTGAAGTTAGTTGGGTTTCCTTTTTTGTCATGTTAATTCAGTATTTTGTAAACATTCGACGCAAACAATGCTTATTGTTTTACACAGATATTTTTGATCGTCAATTTGCAGATCGTAATTTTTAATAATTCCGGAAAATATATACCGATGAAGTTTCTGGTTTTACTTTTTCAATTCGTATCATAACTGCGTTTGAATTGAATATTAAGTCTCGTAGTCAAAGTGACATATGGACCTAAATGGTCATGCGCATAAAGAGTATTGTTAACAGGAGGGTAACAAGAACTGAACAACTGCAATGGGAAGTGTGTTTTTAACGGTAAATGGCTTGACGATCCCTGATTTTTTTTGGTGAGGGAGTACGACTGAGAGTTAATAATGCTTTTGTCTAAGTTGTAAAGTCGATTATCAAGCTTCAAATGGCAAAAGGTGTTACAATTCTTGTACAATAATGGACAGTGGGCTCAAGTTAATTCATGAATTGGATGACCCTTTAACGTTGACGTTGAGAAAACAGTCTAATAAGCGAGTCACACATAGGTAGTCTCGCACACGTACATTTGACGGCGCCGTAAGCCGATCTGATAATCTCGTTCAAACACCGCATCCAACAAATTTAAGGGTTCAGTATATCTAAATTAGTGTACATGGTATTCATTTACCTTTTCCAGTACCGTAGTAAGCACAAATACGTCCGATATGCTTGATTAGAAAGTATAAGTATCGCCTTGAAACACCATGTCGTAGTGCCGATTTTCAGCCTTTCAGATAACTTCAAACGATAGGCCCTATATCGTATCTGACTGTGTACTTTCGTGGTTAGACGTTTTAGAATTTCAAGTGAACGAGAAAAGTTATTTAGCATCGCAGTTATGCAGTTTTTAGAGCAGCAAACCGTTCAGAATTACTTCGACGGTCGCTTGTATTTGGTGCCAATCGACGACACGTGCACGGGAAGGGGCAAGTTGCGCGACGTGATGTGCTCCCGATTTATTTCGAAGGGTTGGTCAATACCGTTATAAATTCGTCCTTTTCCTTTCAAATGTGTTCTACTGCCATTTACATTTGAAATGTGTGATCGTTTTAAATATATTTATATATTATTTTTTTTACATAAAACATGAATTACGGTGAATGTAAACAAAGGAAAAATAATTATCAATATTGCATCACTGAGGCTACTTTTGATTTGGATTTTATTAGTTTTATTTTTTGATTGAAGGCACGGAATTAAAGGCGAATAATTTCTTATTTGAACTTTTCAAGCTAGATTTTTTCACAATTCCTGTGTCAAGAAAATGAGATAAAGGCTGATTTTTCTCTTTTTTGAAAAAATAAATAAAAAAAGTTCTGGTGGAAATTTAATTTACAATCATCTTGAATAGTATTGCACTTCAAAAAATATTATATATTTAATGATTTTAATGGAGGGCCTTTCTCGGTTGGAGGCCGAGAAAGTATGGCCACTGTTTAAAAAAAATGGCTACTGAAATTCAAACATGGCTACTTTTTTGGCTACTGATTTTTTAGGTCCAGGGTGAGCCCTGATTTACATACATGTACATGTAGGCCTTTAACAGGGATAACCCATTGAAGCCACACATACAGTATTCCGTCTTTGCGTATTGCAGAGTTATCTTCTCTTGAGAGCAGGTATTGATTGTTATGTCATTGGTTTGTGTGAGGAAAAGTACGTCGTTTTCTCAAAAATTGATGACGTTATTCTCACAAACAAATGACGTAACAATCATTACCTGCTCTCAAGAGAAGATAACTCTGCAATACGCAAAGACGGAATAGCGTAGTTCCAAGGAGGTCTCTTAATTACAGTACTATACAAAAACAAACCTTAAGTTTGAGCAAAATCTACCTGTTATAAGTACGAAGCTCTAAGGAATTCTTTTAGAATTGGAATATAGTTAAAAGAGGAAATACTATATAGATGCATGAAATTTGACTGCAAATAAGACCCCTCTCAGAAATAAGCCTCCTTCTCCCTACTTTGCCGAATGTCCTAGAAATAGTGTCAGTGCCCGCAATGAAGCCCGGCCACTACATCTTTCATTTCCCATTAAGTTTCATTTCTAATGAAAGTCACAGATGTTAATTTCTTACAAACATTTATATGCAATTTGCTAATTGGTTGCAAAAAATTCCCAATTTCATCCAAGGGTCCTGTTCCCCAAATCTCGTGGTAAACCCTGGCCAATTTGTCCCCTTGCAATTGAGTAGCATATATTCCAAGGCAGCAGAAAAGCCCAAACCAATGCAAGTATGTCAGCCTTTTATGTCCCTGATGACAGATGAGAACAAATTGAGAAGGCCTTGTAGTTGTATGACATCTCATGACTATGTCGCCATTTCCATGTTAAAATGAGAAGACAAGTTTTGTTTTTATTTACATTTTTTAGGGATTCCCATTTCATATTGATAATTTTGTCAGTTTGACTTTTCACCTACGGTGAGATATTGACTTTTGGTATAAAGTTTGCTTAACTTCTGTAAGTGTTAATGAAAGGTATGTTATAATGATATATTGATTGATATAAAGACCTATCAACCATAACCTTTGGTGACTTTCAACAACCTTAACTGTATATTTAATTTTGGTCAATTTTGATTCAGTATAATACATGTGCAAATATAACTTTTTCATTATTGATCGATTGATTATCAAATAATCCTTAGGCAATTTGAATTTGGTGACCTGTAGATAACTCTAGATCTAGCTATCTGCTTTCTGATATAATATGCATTAAAGGTATATTCATTATTATATTTACACATTCACCCCTGAAATTTCATGATGAACTATTCCAACCTTTGAATTGGAAGAGCACAAATGTGTCTTCAGGGGTGAATGAGTTAATTAATCAATAGTGATCAGCAATTTTATATGATCTTTTGTAGCATTTATAAATATTTATACATGTATATTGATTTTTGGTACAAATGAAATATGTATTGGCCCTAGTACATACTAATTAACAGTAAAATGAAATTCACGACCATACCAGAAATTTAACCTGTGACCCTCTGAATTCTAGACTGACACTTTTGATCTACCAATTGAGCTACTGTACCTAGTTGTGCAGTGTTACTAAGTCCCACCACACATGTATCACATGTACTTTGTAAATATATATGTCACTTTTATGAAACTATTTGTCAATGGAGCTGATACACCTGAGGTGTACGTTAACTTAATTAACCATATATTTGCCTCAAGCTCTTTGGCATCGGGTGAAGCCAATAAGTATTGTCACCTGTTAATTAAAAAGTAGAGAATTCCATAATGCCTGTGAGCTAATTTGAGGCCGCTTTAAGTTATCTTATCCTACATTCTGGATCGATCGCTAAGTTTATTTAAATATTTTAAGTGATACAGTCTGAAGATGTTTTATAGTTGACTGTTCAGCCCTCATGTATGCGCTGTACATTGTGTATCCTAAAAAATAGGATGATCCTATGATAAATAAAGATTAAATATCCACACATCAAAGTATAACTTTATATGATAATGAAATTTACAACATATCCTCTGAATTCCCATAAAATTTTATTGAATATTTTCAGTGATAATATCTGAAAACACACATGTGACACCCCGTGATTGTCAAAATATAATTAAAAAACTAACCTTCATAAACTTCATACAAATAAATACCACCCATGAATATACAGGATACATACCTTGTTGTCAGACTGTC